ATGGGACTATTTACTAATCCTGCCTCATAGGTTGTTGGGAGGATTTGAAGACTTGGTGCAGGTGAGCCCCTGAGACAAATGAAGGCTCAGGAAGTACCAGATGTGGTTATCACTATGGGAAGGAAGGTGGGAAAGGTCTAGAATGATCCTGAAGTTTCTAGCCTGAGTAGATGATAGTTATTCTCATTGTGTTTATTCATTAACCATGTTCCTGACATTGGTGACATTCTCTAGTAAACTTGGATTGATGCTTTTGCTTTTTCCCACAGCACTGAGCATTTAATCAGCCATGAAATAGTTTAAAATAGCCCCACCTAGTAAGCCAAACTTCAATCCTTTGGGAAGGAGGCCATTGCTGCCAAAGCCCTCTGACTACTAAGTGAAGTACACCTTGACAGCCTGAGAGGGTCAAGGTCATTGGATCAGGCCTGCAGTGGACCAGGCCCATAGCAGCTCTCAGCTGGACAACAGCTGCCGCCCAACACATATCCCCTGCAGGTCTGCCCCCTGGGTGAAAGCCAAGCTGCAGTTCTGCCTTTGGGGCACTCTGGGGCCTCGTAACCCCCAGTGAGGCTACTCCCCCGACACACACCTGGGTTGGACCACCCTTGCTCTGCCTAGGGAAGCTGACCCCTTCGCCTGGCCAAGTCTCCCTCAGCTCAGACACACCTTCCAGCAGGCTGGGTTCCTGGCTGGGTTTCCTGGACACTCCTCAGGTGCTGTTTTGAGCCTTCGGTATTGGTTGTGCGAGTGAAGGACTTCTTACCATGTCTGTGCCCCCTGCTCCCACAGGGACAGGGACTGTGTCGTGGTGAGATGTGCATGACAGTTAATCGAGCCAGACCAGTGGAAATGGAATCCACACCTTCTTGCTGTGTGACCTTGGGCAAATCACTTAACCTATCTGTGCCTCAAATTCCTCATCTAAGTGGTATCTACTGCATGAGGTTTTCATGAAGGTTAAGTGAAGAGGTAAAGTACTTCCAGCAGCAACCAGCACCGGTGGCGTTGGCAAGTCTTCTCACCTTCATGTCACTGGGTGCCTGCCTCCTTTTGAGCACGTGCTGGCTGAAGCAAGTCCTGGTGGCTACACACCCTACAAATATCAACCCATTCAGAGGGCCTGGCACTGTGATTACCCCCAGTTACCTATGAAAGAAGAGAGAAGTCACAGCTAGGAAGCTGGTGCCTTGCCTCCAGCTCCCCAGTTCTCAGACGCCACCATGACTGAGTGCGCTGGAGACCGAACAAAGACCATTGAATCAGGCAGAGTGGGGAAATCACTTTACATCTGTTTTCCCAAATTGTGTTATTTAAAATGCCCTGGGCAGATGCCCACGTGTGCAGGGACACTCAGCCAGACTAGAGGTGCTTTGTCTCCTTGAAAGGCCCCATTGTGACCCCACACCAGCCCCGATTGATTGACACAACAACAGGCCCTTGTGCGGACCCTGAAGGCCGGCTCGCTCCAGCCCACAGCTGGCAGTGCAAACCCTTTGCTGTCTAATGTCAGACTAAGGAGGCCTGAAAGCCTCCATGTGCGCTGCTTCACAAAAGCAGTCCTGCAACCTGTTCTGATAACAGATGCTTTTCAGAATTTGGCCCTAGAATGCTGAGGAAGCCCAGTTCCTATAAACTCTGGAGATGTCCAGAAGGGCAGATCCGATGGGTACCCTGTGTGCAGAACAGGGTGGCAGGAGGTTGGCTCCCTGGGGAGATGGACTATATGTGGGTGAATCCCCCTCCCAGTCCACCCTGTGCTGCATAGGGAAGACCACCAGAAGGATGCCCCCAGGAGATGCCCACAAAGCCCCCATGCAACAAGGGGGCCACAGCCAGTGAGGTTACAGGAAGAACCTCCCAAATGTCCTGGCTGATTTGATCCATAGCTGCCTTTCGCCATTTGCCCTCCCAGGACACATTCCCTCCCCATACACCTGTCCATGAATATTGTAGGCCCCATGGAGCTGCCCCCGAGGGCTGCAGAGGCAGGAGGGCATGTACTGACTCACCAAATTGCTGTCTGGACAGGCATGCTGGAGCACTCACAGTGCTGTTCCAAATGCCTGGCTTCACCCTCTGAAACCCCTTGCCAGTTGGCATCTGTCCACCACAAGGTCTCCTCTCGCTGTCATTTCCTGCAAGGCCAGAGGACGGACCTGCTTGAGGACGGGCCAGCTACAGCAGCTCTGCAGAGCTGGGCCCTGCTCACTCACACAGCCTGAGCTATCTGAGTTCTGGCCCTGTGCCCCTCCTGGCACACACCTGGGCGATAAACATTCGTATGTGTCCACAGGCAGCACACAGGCCACAGAGTAAATCAGTAAGTGCAGGCCCACGAGGCCCAGCAGGTCCAATGACCTATGTGAGGTAGGAGGGGAACAGTCCTCTTCTTGTCTGGGCCCCACCTCAGCAGGGATGACAGTGGGGTGGCTGACTATGGTTTGGTTTGTTCTGAAAGCTTTGGCTCTTGGTCACATCATAAACATCAACTTCTTCTTCATCCTTTCTCGGGCCCATGGAAGGACTTAGCTCTTGATTCTATGAGCTTAGAAACACCCAGTTCTTTACCTTCTTTGCAAAGTGTCAGTTGGACTAGGCAGGCTTTGACTCAGTGGGGGCTGCAAAGTGGAACCCGGTAAGCACCTAAACTGGCATATCATGACGCTGCGGCTCACAGCAGCCAGCCCCTCTCAGTGAGACAACTGAGTCTAGGACCTGGGCTCAGTCATGTGGCTGGCTACAGGCCCTGCTAGCAGTCTGGGGCTGTCCCAAGCACCCAGCTTCATCCCATTCTGAAGGTCCCTGCCCACTGGCATCATGTCTACCACAAAGTATCACTGTCACTTTGTGAGAGGCTGGAGAACAGACCCACATGAGGACAGGTCTGGGCACCCTGAGGTAGAAACCAAGCACAGGGCTCCAGGGCTATGGGAGCTGACCCTATATCTGCCTCCACTTCTCACCAGCTGCTTGAGTCTCCATTTCCTCACCTATAGGAAGATGTAGTGGCCATCTCCTGTGGCAACTGGGAGGATGACAGGAGGCCAGGCATATGTAAGGTGATTACACAGTGCCTGGCCCAATGCAAGAGCTCCAAAAATGGCAGGTGAGATGGCTACACAGGTGTGAGTTTGGGTGTTTGGGGCAGTTGTGCTTGGGTGTTGGTGCCGCCTGAACTTTGATCCAAGTTAGGCCACCAAACGGAGCATCTAAGGAATGTCCACCTGCCCTTGTATTGGCACCAGAATATGCCCCAGAGGTCCCATCTTGCCCAAGACCCAGAGGCGGAGAAGTGGGGTGTGCCTACAGTAAGAAACTTTGGGGGCCAGGTACCATCCCACATCCTTGAGGGAGCAGTGGTCCCAGCACATAGGAGGTATTCAGCCAGTGCCCAGTCTCTATGGTCTGAGCTACTACTGCCCTTAGCAGGTAGAGCTGCCCATCAGCAAGCACTTGTACCTGCAAACACTAAACAGCTGGATACAGACAGAGCTGAGTGCTGAACGCGGGAGCACAGACACTGGGCGGGAGCTAGGTCAGAGGGGGCAGGAAGAATAAGCAAGACTAGGAAAGGGCATTTCTTGAGGCTGAAACCTTCCCATCCCATTCCCATCCAATTGAATGAATGCAAGCCAAATGCAAAATTTAACTGCAAATTTTACAAATGACTCAAAATAGAAGGGATGAGAAAGTCAGAGAATCATCTGCAGAGGTTTTGACTAATAAGGGTTTTACAGTTAGACCAATTTGCAAGTGAAAAAGAATGAGAAAGACGTGAAAGTTTCTTTAAAGAGAACGATTACAATTTCAAAACATTGAGAAACCCTTGGGAAATTCAAGTAAACCTTCGATGTGGATCAGGCAGTTTGGCTGAAAAAATGAGACTTCCCTCAGTCAACAGTTGATTGCAAGTTTTGTTAAACATGCAATAAATTCCCTACCGTTTTTTTTTTTTCTTTCCATTTTGTCTTTTTTCATGACCGGCAACGGATCACAACCCTCAGTGTCGTGCCCGTACTGGACCAGGACCAGCAACGGGATCACAACCCTCGGTGTCGCGCCCGCACCTCGCTCAGCCAGTGAGTGGCCGGTCTGTATGTGGGATCCGAACCCTCAGTGGGAGCGCTGCCGCACTCCCAAGCGGCGCACTGTAGCAGTGCACCACCGGGCCGGCCTCCCTACCGTTTTTTAATTTGTAGTTTAATTTTTCAAAAGAAGGCCTTAATCAACTGTTTTGTCATGATTTACTATGAAATGGTGGTCGTTTTAAGTGGACTCACTACAAGTGGCCGGTTTCTGGAACCAGTTACCCTGGGATAACAAAGGACCTCCTGAAGATGCCACTATGACCCAATTTAGGCCTGAGATCTCCAAGCTGGAAGGGAAGTAACATGTCAATTTGTTAAACCCTCCACCTGAGGGTTTGGTCTCCGTGGCTGTCAGCAAGAAGCCGGACAGTCTTTCCAGATTCCTAATTTAGTTCCCTCGTGTTTCCTTCCATCCCAGACAGGTCATTGCCGACATGTGGCCTTCACCACTTGTCACTGTGCTTCCTTTCACTCTGTGGTCTGGTCCCCTTTCTCTCCTACGGAGTGACCCAAGGAAATTCTAAAAACAGTTGATTCCCCACATCACTAATTGGAACAGAACACAGAGTGTGCTGCCCAGACAATTCTGATCAGTTTTACAAATAAACTGAGCACCTTGTTTCATTTGGGCTTAAGGAAGCTCTAACTGAGCCCAGACCACTGCATCTTGTAGGAAAAAGGAGACCCCCCAGGCTGGCTCTTGGTGAGTTTCCAGAGAAGGGAAAGATGTCTGGGCAGATATAGCTGAGAGAGTGGGGTCCCGGCCCTGAGCTCTGAGAGTACAGTGGCCGAGCACACACAGTGTCCTCTGAACTGCCACTTGATGCTGCCTCTTGAGATTCAGGTTAAGTGATGGTGTTCCTGATACTGGGGAATTAAAAACAAAATCCAAAAAACATCCCACAAAAGTACTGAACACAAAGGCACTTTATAAAGTATTTCAAAGGGTTATTATCTTTCACTGTGGATATCTGGAAATATCTGTAGGGTGAGTTTGAGTCCCCGTGATAGGCAGAATATCCATGAACACTCAGAAACGCGCCACAAGATGGGGCACTCAACAGAGCCTGTGGAAAATTCCAATAGGCAGTTCTCAAGATCCGGTCCAGGGATCAGCAGGGGACATTTGTTTCCTTCTCAGCTCACAGTCCCCACCTTCCCACCCCCACTGTCCCCTTTCACAAACAGGAAGTGACCCTAAAAAGACAGCTGGAGGTTAAACATAGCAAGCCCCCCTACCCCTGACGTGAAGGTACATGGCAGAGTAAGCTTCACACCCGTAAGAAACAGAGCACTGCTTTTTTTTTGGTTTGTTTTCTTTTTTCCACCATCGAGAGCATTTCTGCATTCTATAAAGTCATCCTGGAAGGTGGGCCGATCCGTTAACACCGTCTGGATTTTCAGCTCGAATGCTGCTGCTTTATGAAGACTTCCATCTGATTAAAGAAAACACCGCGTGGACCACGTAGAGCAGAGTAACTACGTAGGAAAACACCTGGAATAAGAGACAGGGCTGTGAGCGGGAGCATGGGGAGGTTAAGACACGGCGTGCGCACTGTCCCCTGCACTCGGGGCAGGGACCCGGAGTGTGGGGGCGGCCATTGCTCTCCATCACTTGCCCGAACAGCCTCTCCTGCTGAGCCTGGATGTGCACCCGGAGGCCTTTCATTGCAGAGCTCCGGGTGACCTAGCAATCCTGGGCTTGCCGTCGCACAACATCAGGTGGGCATCAGCTGACTTGAAATGGGGCCCTCCAAGGCCCCTGCAGTGAAAGTATCCCAGGCAAGCACCAGCTATGCTCAGTGGAAAATGTCCTGCCCCACACCAGAAGGACCAGCGTCCACCAGCTGTGATCCCAGCGGCTCTGCTGAGAGCTCAGGAATGCATGGATTTGCTGGCTCTGGTCAAGATCTCCATGCTCCTGGACCTCCTCAGACCCCATCAGAATTGGATACTAGGATTTCCTCCTCTCAAAGGCATGGGGCAGGGAGCCGGGATGCATAGGAAGTGAGGGTCAGGGCAGGGGAGGTGGGATTTTGAGCTTCTGTCAAAAGGAGGAGGGTTCCTGAGAAAGCTGTTGGGATGATCCAGCCAGCCTTTGTGGCACTGGGAACAAAGGCCCTGGAAATGGGGCAAAGGGTTGGTTGTGACTCGCTGTGTTCACTTGGACATTAGCTACTCGCATTACCCTACTCTGGGTGAGGGGCCGCCCTAAAGGCTTGCCTGCCCCCAAGTCCGACCTGCACCTGGTTTTGTGACCTTGGGCAGGGGGTCAAATGTTTCAGCCCAGGCACAATATTTAGGGCGGCTACGGTTCTGTGACTCTTGAAAATGTGTGTAAACACCAGCCTCATGGTGCCTGCTCTCTCCCTGCCCCCACGCACGGGCGAGCTTTTGACCCTCATTGGCCAGAGGCGCTGAGTCAACCGAGTTACTTAATAACAAATGTAAGAGAACTCATCCACTTAATAACAAATGTAGGAGAACTCGTCCGGGAATGCCACAGTACCCTGAGAAAGGAGCAGGCATACAGGAAGGAGCAGCCTCCCCCCCCCATGATAAGATCTGGAAACCTCCAGATGTCTCCAGAAATCTCCAGCTCTTGTCAGTTGACTTCCACCTATCCCAGGGAGCCCTTTGGTGAAGCAGCTCTGCCACCAACAAAGGAAAGAGGGGAGACACTCAGCTCTTGAGACAGGTCCTAACAGGAACTACAGAGAGGGGCATGAGGCAGGCCGGGTGTTTCCCAAGGCCAGGGCTGTGTGAGAGAAGTTTTGAGGTGCCTCCCCTCACCCCCACATCCCCTGGACTAGCGTGCCCCACAGCCATCAGAAGGGCATAATGTGGCTGGGCAGGGTCTGTGGTTAAATCCTGAGTAGCGATGCTCCTTGTCCCGCGTGTGCTGATGCAGTTGGTATTTTGAATGGAAAGGCATGACTTTACGTTGAACCCGGTTCATTTTTCACGGTGGTGGTTTGGGCCCCATGCGTCTGCCTGCTGAGAACATTATGACTCTTGGTTCTAGCACTCCTGACTTCGCCCGGGCATGCTCCTGTCTACCCAACTCAACTAACAAAAATTCCTACCACGGAATACTACACAGTGACGAGAATTAACAATCTACACATTGACAAGAATTAACAATCTACACCTACACTCGACCACAGGGGTGAATCTCACAAACACAGGGTGGAGAGAAAGCAGCTAGACATAGAAGAATACACATTGTATAATTCCACTGCTATGAAATTCAAAGGCAGGAAAAACCAAACTGGGTGCTAGAGATCAGAAATTGGGTGGCGTTGGGGCACACAGTGACAGTGACAGGACAAGAGGGGATCTCTGGGAGCAGTTTATTATGTCCTATTTCTTAATCTGGATGCTGGCTACACAGGGAGTCCACCTTGTGAAAATTCATCCATCTGTGCACTTGTAACGTGCACACTTCTCCAGATGTACGCTGCATTTCCATAAAAAGCGAAAGAGAAAAGTCGGAATGCAGTAGAGCCCAGTGGTCCTCAACTAGAGATCCGCCCAGCGGACAGGAGTGTTCATTCACTCCATCTGGGTTTTTCCATCAAGCACCAACCCATGAACCTCATCCCATCTACATTTCCCTATTGTTGTCCACAATGATTTTCCAGAAATTGTTGTCAAATACTTTGCTGATGTCCATTAAGAGAGAGGGCTTCTGGGGTGGGGATGGGGAGGTGTGAGGCGCTCCTAGCAAGGGAGATGGGTCAGAATCATTTGAAGGACCTAGGAGGCATCACCAGACTCTTGGGGAAGGAAGAACAACCACGACGCTATCTGGCTGTGATACTGTTTAGAAACCAGCCGTGTCTGGAGATGTTCTGACACTGCAGACACTTGAGGGGGTGCCAAGGGTCCTGAGGTGGCCACATTTAGGGAAGTGGCTGTAGACTGGGGGCTTAAGGGACAGCAGACTGGCCACAGAGACCAGCAGACGAGCTTTGAGGAACACTCTCCCAGACCCCTCCCCGTCTGGGAGCAGGAAAGAGGCACCGCGCCCAGCACTTCGTAAAGCCCACCACCCACCCCTGTGGGGTTTCTCTCCATCTCTGCTCCACCCTTTCCAAGAAGAGGGGCGACACAGCCTGGTCCACCTGGAGCTGGCATCTTGTGATCTACTGCCACATTCGACTTGGGGTTTACATGATTCATAGGTCAATTTCTAGAAATCTGAGGGGTGCTATTTCTGAAATGTTTTCTTATTTTCAAACAATACTCAAGGGCCGGCCCGTGGCTCACTCGGGAGAGTGTGGCATTGGGAGCACTGAGGCTGCAGGTTCAGATCCTATATAGGGATGGCTGGGGCGCTCACTGGCTGAGCGTGGTGCAGACAACACTGTGCCGAGGGTTGCCATCCCCTTACCGGTCATAAAAAGAATAAAAAAAAAACAATATCCATGGTTCAAAATACATTTTACAAGTAATTATGATTTGTAACAAACATGCTAATAGCATTGATTTGATCATCACATACTGTACACAAATACTGATAGTCAACTCTGTACCCCATAAATATAAATAAAAACGAGTTAAAAAATAAATTAAAAAATAAAAGAAATACGTTCCACACTGTGAGTTAGTATACTGGTATAAGGGCACATGTGCACAACCCTGAAAAAACGTTTTATGAGACAATTCATTCTGTTACTCCCTGTCATCTGATCCATTCCATTAAAAAGAAAATCCTCCCCTGGCCCCAGTGTCCCGGCCCGGACTGTGTGCTTCAGTGGAGGACCACTCAGGGAGAGCTGAGACCCGAGTGGCCACACTGCTCCACACTGGTGCTAGGACTGCGGGTGACACCGCACCTGGCCCTGCCAAGTACTTTCTGCGCCCTGTTTCTCCATCTGTGAAATGGGTATAATGGCAGTGGCTATGTCACAGAGTTGTTGTGGAGGTTGAATAAGGCAGTTGACAGAGTGCTCACAGTGCCGGGCACTCAGTGGCCATCGTCCCCTCGCACGTCTGCCCTCTGCCGAGCCCACCCAGGCAGGAGCCCCTGTGCCCACCTGGGGCAGCACAGCAGTGACCTGACGACTAAGGGAGTCTCGGGCACGTTCCTCCCACTTCCCTGAAGCTTTGCTGCTTCACAAACGAAGCGGGAGGGGGTTGACTTCATTCAAAAGTTAGTGAACTAAGACAAAAGAGGGGAGGCCGTGGGCAGCCTTCCGCTCACACCCGCTGCCAGCGGCCGGGGCAGCTGCTGGGCGCGAACATGGGTGGGCGCAGGCCGCGGGGGACTCACCACGGCGGAGACGTTCTCACGATACTGTTTGTAGGTGTAGCCGTTGCGCATGAAGATGGTGGCCAGGGCCTCCAGGACCGAGGCGCTGAGGTAAAACAGGGCAGCTGTGCAGTGGTACGCCGCATCCTGCGGGTCAGAGTGGGCATCAGGGAGAAGGGGACAGGCGCCCGGCCCAGCCCTGAGCAGCTGTGGTCCCAGCAGGTCCTTCCACCGCCCATCCCTGCACGGCCTGGCTGGGGTCCCTCCCCTATCTCTTGCCACTTCCTTTGAATCCCACCCTCCTTGGGCCCCCCGCAGCCCCTCGCACAGAGGCTGTTTAACCAGCGCAGGCCAGCTGAGCTTCATTCCACTGGTTTGGGGGCCAGAGTAAGCACTTTGATGGGGAAGGACACTGCTTTCCCTCGGGGTGCGATTGAGTAAGGGGTGGGGGGTGGGGTGTTGATAGGTAGAGATTGGTTCTGGACCTGAGAAGTGTCACATGTGGTCACAGTCCAGCTTGGGTGCAGGGTGACAGAGGCCTGGACCATTTCTATTGTGGCTTTTGTTTTAGGTATTTTTTGGCCCCTGGTATACTTGAAAGCAAAAAAGTGCTAAAACAGGACCTAGTTGTAGTTGTAATTTGGAAGTGATTTCAGAAGTGTAAGTCGGAGGCCTTCTGAGAGTGAGCGGCCTAGCCGAGTGGCTCCCACACCCTCCTGCAGTAAGGGGCAGGTGCCACATGTGTCAGTTTTACCCTTTTCATGAGCCTCAAAGCAGAATTTATACAGAATAAAGACCACAGGCCATTTCATTCCTAATGCTGTCTGGCAGCACTGCTTGGAAGGCAGTGGCTGAGAAGCTGGGCAGTAGGCCTGGGCTGACCACTGGGGAGGACCATCGGCTTAGGGTCAGCCTCTAGAATCCTGCTCCCCCAAGATGAAAACAGCCCTCCTGGACCATAGGAGGTGCCAACAGGCAGCTGGTAGGTGCAGATGGTGTGGTGTGAGGGTTGGGCAGTCATATAGGAGAAAGCGGGGCAGGGAACCACAGCAGCAGATACGTGGAGCACTCTCTCCTTCTGATCTCTGCGCTGCAGGGAGCCCCGGACTACTATGCAGTCTGCTGAGGCCTGGGCCAGCTTGGCTTGGAGCATGGCTGGGAGACATCTGCAGGGCAGCCTCACCCAGTTTTGGGAAAGCCAGCCTCCCAGGTCAGAGGGCCCCATACTACCCGGCCCCCCCAAACACCCTGGGCTGGGACTCACCAGAGTGACCCAGGAAGTCTTCCCGTCGTGGGCGCCAATTACATACAGGATGATCAGGATAGTGGTGGCCAAGAAGCAGAACACAGACACGAACATCACCCAGCCCTGGACCAAGGCGATGGGCACCAGGGAGGAGGCAATGAGGATCCACACCAGACCCCCGAAGACCTGAGGGGGAGGCAGGGGAGTGTCAGTCCAGAGCAGGGCCACACCCAGGAAGGGCCCCAGGCCTAGCAGTCACAATGCGGCACTTGGGGTGCGAAACACAAGAGAACAGGGCGGGCATTTTCCTCACCAAAAACGACTCTTACATTCCCCAGCCCCCAAGGCCCTGGGCTGGATCCAGCCTGTGGACAAACACACACGAGCCCCCGCTGGGATTTTCTGTGTTTCTCCTCGCTCCTCTTCACGCCGGTGGGAAATCAGCTGAACCGCATCACCTGTCACCCACCCAGATTAGCACTGAGCTCAGAGGGGGCTGCGGCAGTGTGGCGATGGCTTTGCAGTCAAAGGTCTCCAAGGTCCTGCGGAGCCTGTCACCATCTTCTGAGCATCTGGGGCTGAGGATGGTGCCGCCCTCCTGGTCCTACCTCTCCTGTGGTGTGAACTCTCATGGTACCTTGACCCCCTCTCCCTGGACCCACTGACCACCTGCTGGGTAAGAGAGACCACTGTCTTCACAGGTGTTCTCTGAGCTCTTGGCTGAGAAGTATCAGGAGAGAATCACATTTGGGTAGAAAAATCAGTGCAGTGAAGAAACTGGATTTATCAAAACCAAGTGTGCCTAATGAATCAAATACGGGCATCTCTGGCCAGAAAATATTCTCTATTGATGGATCTTAGATTACCTAGAGGCATGTGACAGAGTCAGTGGTACATATTGTATACATTATAAAAACTGAACAGACGGTCATGGAATAAGACCTATGTCTGTAGACTTCATTCATAGTTGCCTTTAAGATCAAACAGATTACTTGGCCTTTTCCATATACATATTGTATACATTATAAAAACTGAACAGACGGTCATGGAATAAGACCTGTGTCTGTAGACTTCATTCATAGTTGCCTTTAAGATCAAACAGATTACTTGGCCTTTTCCATATGGGCACTGACAAAGGGACATGAGCATGTTGATGGCTGAGCAGGATTTGTTTGCTTGTTTTAAAAGATGACCGGTAAGGGGATCTCAACCCTTGACTTGGTGTTGTCAGCACCACACTCTCCCGAGTGAGCCACAGGCCGGCCCCTGAGCGGGCACGAGAGTGTGGCATGGACAACTGGGAAGATCGATCAGGTGTGTCCATCCAGTGTGCAGAGAGAGGCAATGGCCTGGGAGACCCCTCTCCCAAGTGTTCTGATCATCCTAGGAAGACCAATATAAGTTATGCTCCTTACTCATACACTCTCAGAAAGTCCTGCACGTCTTCTCTGTGGCACGCAGCACAAACACAGGTGTATTTGGTCAGTGACAAAATGGCGCTTTCCTAGACCAAGTGATGGTGAGAGTGAGATCCGTTTTGCTCATAGCTGGCTCCCTGGTGGGGGACACAGGGAAGACCCATTGAGCCATGCATTGCTGTTTGCGTTAAGCTGGCTTTCAGTCTCCTGGCAGCTGCATGAGGCTAAACTAGAGTGACTTATGAGCCAAACCCGAAAGGAGAGGCTTGGGTTGCATGTGGGTGAGAAGGAACTCGGTTATGCAGGTGGCCAAGGGATACAACATCAAGGAACACTTAACGCCATAGTAAGACAACGATTCTCTTTCACTGTCTTTGGTTTTTCTGACTAAGGCAAGAGGGCTCAGGGTGAAGCCAGGTGTCTGGAGTCCTCTTAGAACATGAGCAGGCAAAGATGAATTGGATAGCGACATTGTTTTTATGTTTGTGGTAGCAGTATCATTATTTGGGGGAAAAAATTAACTACAAAATACATACAAGGTAAATTAATGCACAAGTGGCTATTGGAAATGGCAAAATCAGTTCCTGGTCTGCAGAGTCATCCTGCTTTATATCTTTCAGCTCCATTCTTCCCCATGTGGCTCAAGATGTGAATCATGGCCAGGAATGAAGGGCAGGAAAGATGGGCGAAGTCAGAGTGAAGTCACCGCACTGAGTGCTATCTATAGGGTTTCATGTGTGCACCTTGGTAGAACCAAGCTTTGGCTCTGAGCTTCCAGCACCTGTGCAGAGGGAAGCTTCCAGGTTAAGCTAGACTCTGACCTGTTTTGGATGTGTGTGCTTTTATCAGTCTGATGAAGACTATGTTCTGGCTCCCCAGAAAATGTGTGTGTGTGCGCATGGCCTCTCGCTCGCTCTCTCACACACTTTCATGCAGATTCCTGCGGTCTGTGGTAGGAAGCCTGTCCACAGTGGTCCACAGAACAAAGCCCACACTGTGCTTAACCCCAGCCCCTGTCCCCTGGCAAACCTTAGGACCTGCCCTGCCTCTAGGTGCATTGTCTTGCAAAACAGGTCCTTGTAAAAATTAGGCTTTTTTTCTTTGCATGTAGCAGTAGGCTTCATAGTGAGATGCTGTGGAGAACTTCTCTCTCTCTTTTTAAAACAGCTTTAATGAAATATAAGTCACATACCGTACAATTCACCCACTGAAAGTGTACAATTCAATGGTTTCTTGGTATATTCACAGCTATATGTGACTATCACCACAGTCAATTTTAGTGCATTTTCATCATCTCGAAAAGAAACCCTGTACTTATTAGCTATTGTTCCCCTCCTCCCACTGCAAACAACCATTAATATTTTTCTCTATATATAGACTTCCCTATTCTGAACTTTCATACAAATGGAATCATATAATATATGGGCTTTTGTGACTAACTTCTTTCATTTTGCATAATGTCTTCAAGGTGAGAAATCCTCTTTCAAAGGGACTTTTAAAAAACATCTCGGTGGCGCACTGGAGAGTGCACCGCTTGGGAGTGTGGCAGCGCTCCCGCTGAGGGTTTGGATCCCATGTGGAGACTGGTTCCCGCTCACTGGCTGAGGAAAACATCTCGGTGGCGCACTGGAGAGTGCACCGCTTGGGAGTGTGGCAGCGCTCCCGCTGAGGGTTCGGATCCCATGTGGAGACCGGTTCCCGCTCACTGGCTGAGCGCGGTGCGGGCGCAACACTGAGGGTTGCGATCCCGTTACCGGTCAGTAAAAAAGACAAAAAGGAAAAAAAAAAAAAACCATCACATCCCCGATGGCCCATTCTGACTCCCACCATTTAGGGGGCTCTGGGTAAGTGTGTCTTATCTCTGGAGCCTCCAAGCCAGAAAGAGCTGAGGAGCCACTCGTTCCCAGGGACATTCTTACAGGAAAGATACCACCAGTCCCTGTCTGTCCCAGAAACATAGTTTAGGAAACATATCATGTGAAGGTAATATCCTCAGCACAGATAAAACACTTCAGAGCCGGGGGTCTGCTCCCAGGAGATGGCAGTGGGTCTTCCCTCGTACCCCTCCCAGCCCTGCCCAGGAAGTGGCCAGGGGAGGAGTCACTGCTGCAAGAAGGAGCTGCAGGGGGCATCTAGGAACGGGGCCAGAGAGGGTGCAGAGTAACCCTGAGAGGACCAGGAGGAGTAGGGAAAAAAAGATTTTATCACCAGCTGATGTCCATGAGACAGGAACAGGCAAGAAGGAGCTGCAGGGGGCATCTAGGAACGGGGCCAGAGAGGGTGCAGAGTAACCCTGAGAAGACCAGGAGGAGTAGGGAAAAAAAGATTTTATCACCAGCTGATGTCCATGAGACAGGAACAGCTTCCCCTCCCAGCTTTGTCTCAGAGTCGTGCCCCTTCCCTTGGGAGTGCAATGCAGAGGTGCATGGGCAGCCGAGTCAGGGCTCCCTCCTCTCTGCAACACGCACATCTGCCAAGTCCTAAGAGGGGCTCTCCTGCATCTGTGGCAGGAGGCTACAGCCAGTGATCCAGCCCCTTGGCCTTGGCTTCCTCATCTGGAAACGGCAATTTGCAGCGGTCTCCCCATATTGTGGCCTGGTGCCAACTGGCTGGAAGCTAGTGTGAAGCCTCTGGCACCGTGCCCAGCTCTACCCAACAACTGTGGGTAAGACACCACTCACCAGGAGGTCGACAGCCCAGTGGAAACAATGCATAAGCAGCCACTCACCATGCAGGCTGACACCAGCCCCAGAGCAGCCAGGGGCTGCTGCGTGGTCTCCATGGAGTCTTGAAGGCAGAAGTGGAGATAGTTGGTTAACAGGGCCAGGGCGTGGCTCTCCGGAGGGGAGAAAGATTCTATGCCCGGCCCAGAGGATGCTGAAGCTGCCGTGAGGGCTTCAGAAGGCTGGGGAGGGGGCATGAGGTCAGGGCAAGGAGTGGCAGGAGAGAGCGCTTGAGGGAGGGTGAGGCTTATGGCCCTGCTCCGTGGGAAGCTGAGACTCAGTGTGAATCAAGGGAGCCCAAGCCAGTTCCCGCCCCGCTCCACCTACTAAGTGTACCAGGAGCAAACAGAGAAAGCACGCACCCACCCAGGGAGATAAGGCACTCCTGGGCAGTGAGCAATCGACGCCGGCCAGCTTCGGGACCCTGCTGGCCAAATATTTGTCCAAAGCAAGGGGGCAGGTGAGGGTTCAAGCATTTCCCTTCATAAAGAAAACTCACAAACCATTCACACACAGGGAGGCATGGCCCCAGTGTCGCTCATCTCTGTTGACAGACCTGGCTTCCCACCCCCCTCCACCTGCAGCCCAGTCACTGTCCACCAGAACAGACATGGAGCAGCTGGCAAGGGTGGTCTTGGACAGTGGTCTCTACATTGGTGGCTCAACGGCCCCATGGGTGGAGCTCTCTCTTTGGGTCCCAGAGCCCAAGCTGGAAAATGGGGGTGGGACTGGGCCTAACATGCTGTGGTCCTCAACCCTACACACCGAATTGCCTGGGAGGCCTTTAAAAAAACACCAGTGCCCAGGGTCTGATTCAACTGGAGAGAAGCAAGACTTACAGGACGGGAACAGACATCCCAGGCCCTTTGCCAGAGGCCCTGTAACATGTTTTCATAACATAAGGCTGTGGGTGATGCTCTAGTAATTCGCGCCAACAGCAGAGGAAATGGTTCCCATCCCAAATGCCTGATTTCTAGCAACACCAGCCAAGCACTCCTCTCCAGTTCCTGCCTGGCCTCTCAGAGCAAAATGTCACCCTAAAGTTTCCTTTCTGCTCTTCTCCTCTCCTTGAGCTTCGATCCCTGGCTTGCCTTGAATGTGAGACTAGCTCATCCTGTGTGTCCTCTAAGCGCCTGGATACAGCCTCGCTGTCTGTGAATGGGGTCTGCGCAGGTGGATCTGAGGCCCCTACCCACCCTGATATTTCAGGGCTGGAACCTCCCATCTTTGTCTTTTTTTTTTTTGTCTTTTTCCGTGTCCGGCAACGGATCGCAACCCTCAGTGTTGCCCCCGTACTGGACCGGGGACCGGCAACACCGGGCCGGCCCCTGGAACCTCCCATCTTTAATTCAGTCCAGTTTTGGGTGCTGAGCAGAGTTGAGGTTCTCTAAGAACCAGGGATAATGTGCAAAACTGGACAAAAAGTTTCCAAAGACTTAAGAGTTCACATCCATGGTCTACCCCATCAAATGATTTTTGTGAAAAAAAACAAATTCCCTCAGGAGATAGTCTTCTGGGGAGCCCTTGCATGAACTCAGAGAAGGTTCTCATTTTTTCTTTGTGAATTAATCCGCAGGAGGCAGGCTAGGGTGGTTACAGGTGTATGTAGACTTCAGAGCCAGAGTTAAAGAGTATGAATGTCAGCTCTGCCAGTTACTAGCTGGGCAAGCTGTTGTCCCTGGGCAAGTTTCTTAAGCTCTCTGTTCCCTCATCTGAAGAGTAGTGCTAACACTAGTTATGAACTGAGTTTATATCTGCGGGACGCTTGGCACACTGTGGGCGCTCCAAGTGCCTGCTGCCACAACTGTCATGTGACAAAGCAAAGTCTCACCTGTAACCACATGAAAATCCCAGTTGTCTATGATCTCAGTATGCACAATTATCGACTCCAAAACTTGTTGAGAGCCAGAATTTTAAAATAACCTCAAAAGCATCAAAAAGAGAAATAACTATGATCCCCCAGAAACTGAAAGTTAAGAGAAATGTCTTTGCCTCTGCAGAAGGAAACACAAAAGCCACAAAAATCTGAGAAGGCGTTTCTTCAAACAATGAGCCTCAGTTATAAAAGGGGTAAAAAGGAATGTTCTGGCACATTCTTCAGATTTGTCTGGAGTTTCCATCGCTGTGTGTCTGAAAGAGCCCTTCATCTGCAGTCCCCAGGGTTTCTGCTGCACGACTTGGTGACAGAGGTCAAATGCAGAGGACTTGCTCAAATGCCCTGCATATTTTTGGGGAACTCCATTTACTCTGCCAGGGTCTCCACAAGCAGAAACTCCACAGGCAATAATAGGTCAAGATGTAAACCAAAGAGGACCTCCCGCACGGGGCTTTCCACCCCCACACTTGGTGGCATGGCCCCTCGGAGCCCAGCATCAAAATGCCCATCAGCTTCGCAAGGCATATGTGAACAGAAGTTTGTGCCTTGGGTTCTTGAGAAGTAAAGGAAACTGCACAGAACATAAGCCGTACACCAAGTGCTGAGCCATTCTGCCAGTTTGGTCAAGCGGCAAAAATCATCTCCCCAGGAAGGAAAAGAAAAGATGGCCACACCAGAGGAGCAGTGCACACAGATTCATGCCAGTCTGCTGCAAGGGCTGCCGGGAGCTCCGAGCCCTTTGGTGCTCTCCCAAGGCCACCAGGAACAGCGCCTCAGCTCTTGTTGCTGGCAATATATTCCCTGAATTATTTTAGCAGTCAAGGGTTATTTTGATGCCAGGAGGACATTCTGGGTAGGTGATTTGACCAGTATAATAACTGTGTGCTGTAGGAGAGGCTCAGCAGGTTTGCCCAGCTCTAAGCGTTGATGGACTAAGCAAATTAATTATTCTGTGAGTTAGATAAAGGGTAGAGGGCATTTTCCTGTGTATGTACGTGTGTGTGTGTGCGTGTGTGTATATGTATATGTATATGTATATGTGTATATGCATGCACATGGGGTGTGTGTATATGTGTGTGTACATATATGTGTATATGCATGCACATGGGGTGTGTGTATATGTGTGTGTACATATATGTGTATATGCCTGTATGCATGTGTAGGTACTTATGTGCATGTGCACATGCACGTGGGGTGTGTGTATATGTGTGTGTGTACATATATGTGTATATGCCTGTATGCATGTGTGGGTACTTATGTGCATGTGCACATGCACGTGTTTGTGTGTGCGTGCGTGTGTGTATATGTATATGTATATGTGTATATGCATGCACATGGGGTGTGTGTATATGTGTGTGTACATATATATGTATATGCCTGTATGCATGTGTAGGTACTTATGTGCATGTGCACATGCATGTGTGTGTGTGTGCATGTGTATACGTGTGCATGCATGTGCAGACATGGGTGTGTGTCTCTGTGTGTGTGCAGAGGCAGGTTAAGGAGGAGCTAGTGCAGAGCAGGGAAATGGCATGGAGGACAACAGACTTTGATGATAGGGTGAAGTCAGGAAGACAGTGAGCACCAGGTGGTGGGAGAA